AATGATTAAAAAGCTCAGGATTATCTGCTAGGAATGAAAAATATATTTATTGTATAAATTATATATCTAGCATTTGAAAGTTACAATTCGTTGCACGTATGAATAATAGTAGCCGTGATCTCTTAGGGTTTAATTTAATTTATTATCATTCTTTCTCGAAACCGTGACGAAGCAATCAGTATGTAGGATTTTGTTTTTGGTCAATGAATACATGTTTAAAAAACGATATGCTGAATTAATGTTGTCACGTACGTATAAAGGGGCGCATAATGTTTATTTGTTGTTGAGCACAAAACTACAAAATGGGCTAGCTGCGCTGTGCTCACAACGGCTATCGAAACTCGATTTTTAGCCTTATAAGTCTAGAGACTTACCGCTGAGCCAACGGAGGCAGCAGATGATGGTAAAGTTTATTGTAGGTGTTGAAATAACGTACAAGTTCACTTGAAACATAAAATCCCGTAGGTTGACAAGATCCACGTTTAGAAGAAAAGGTATTATAGTATGTTTAATATTTTAGCATCTACTTTATAGATGATAATGATTAATTGTCTAAATATATTCTCTTAATTATTTCAATAAGCTACTGATTAATTAATCTATTCGTTTACACTCCAAAGAAAGAATTGAAATTTAAAATGTCAGAACCATTAAAAATGTTTGTTCATAATCTGGACTAAAGTTTTATTTGTATCGTAAATTTTGAAAACGTTAATTATAAGTTGAATTTATTATTGCACTTCAAAAGTAATTAAAAAATATGCTTATAAGAATAAATCCCATACTCCAGAAAATTGCCCTAAAAGTTGAGTTTAAATCAAATGCGAAGTTAATATATTTATAAAAAATAGACTTGTTAATTTATATTAACATCTGCTGATTAAAATTTGAAAATTTGAAAGATTTTTCATTACGATATATAAACACTTGGCTAAACTGTTTTTCTTTTAATTGAAAAATAATGACCAAGGAAAAAAAAATACTTAAAAAAGTGTTCAAAGTTTCTCTTTTAAATTATGAGTAAACGAGATCTCTGAAAGGGTATAATATAATATTAGGGGGACTCAGTTGTCATAGAAAGTTATGATAGTTGAAATATTCTGCTTCGATTTCATTAAGAATACCAATATCCTCCAAATTAAGCAAAACAAAACTAACGATAGAGTCATCTCAATGAAATTTATCTTAAGGTATCTCTCTTAAGCGTACAAAGGTGGCCGTTAATATTGCTACAAAACCTTGATCCCAATATTCATTAGGATAACTTCGCATTAAGTTGTGCTTGAAAGTGATGGTTTAAAGTAGGTTGGATGACTTTATAGCACTTGTTTCTTCTATAAACGCATGAATCAGCATTACTTGACGAGGGTGAAGCTAGCAAATGTTAACTGAATCTATCTGTTTGTGGGAAGTCACTCCCTTTACTTTCAGGTTTCAGCTATGATTGTTACTAATTGTTCACTAGATTTTGTGCGATGTGCACAATATACAGTTTATGCGATAGGTTTAATTTTTTAGCCATAAGTTTCCTTGTTTAGAAATTGACAACACATAAATATTTTTGAGTTAAATCTACTCGGTAAACAAGCAAACAAATTTAAAGCATTTCATTATTAACAACTTGTTCATATTTAGGAAAAAATATACTTAAAAAGCGTTCATAGTTTTTTCTTTTAAATTATGAGTAAACGTAGGATGTTTCATTATTAACAACTTGGGATCACGTGACTTACGTATCTCACTTGATATTTTGAGGCTCAGACGACCTTTTTTTTTTTTTTCTTTAGGAAGGTTTATATTTCTTTTCCAGTTTCTAACCTTATTGTTTACCTATTTTGGCAACTTAATTGGTATATCATAAAAAAAGCAGGAACTTTAACGATAAATTTACTAACAACTATACTCAGCGCCACGTAATGTAAGACAGTGCACGTATAAGCAGTGGGGAGTCAGTCCAGTAATATATTTCGCACGTGTGCTGTCTCTCAGACAAGCAAAAGTCTGATAGAATATAGATCTCTCTGATGAAACAAAATGCACATTTTCTTCAGATCTACGTAAACGAGAAGCTTCGACTAAAGATTCTCCCTTGGTTATTTTTAATTTTTGTTTCCTTTTTGTTGTTGTTTAACATTTTTATATTTGTACATTTATGTCATCTCGCATTTATATTCCTGTCTATCAATTAATCTGTTTTAAGCTCAATTCTTTGTCTCTACACCGCTTTAAGTACATATAGTTTCATCGCCGTAGAAAGTCAGAAGTAGTTAATTAATATTTCATTAGGTTAATATTAATAGCAAATGACTCTTTTATTAAAATCGCGAAACTTAGAAAAGACAGATTAACGTAAAAACATATATGCATAAAGTATTTGCCATTTTTCGATTTGACTATAATTGATGCTATACATCAAGAATCGTCTGCAGAAATGAGTATAACTATTGGGCCTAATTTGATTTTTAAAACTATTTATTAAAAATTTATTAGATGAGTGTGAAGACATGCAAAACCCTCAACATATTACTGGGTACTTTCAGCTATCATCAAGAAAGATGTCTCGACAAGGCTTCTTTTTTTTTTTTAAAGAAAACCAGAAAGAAACTGTTTATACAAAAAACGTATGTATGTTTGCATTTGTGTTTGATAACTTATATACGCAAAGATAACATAAAACTTGACTAGCATAAACAGAAAACTTGACTTGACTTTCGTCCTCAAATGGAGGGATACAAAGAAGTTGAGAAGCACAGCAAAGGTTATACGCTGTCAATGAAATGTCTTTCAATTCGCGAGATACAAATAAGCCCGGTTTAACTAAATGGAAACAATAAAACTTTTGATGCCTCTGAATATTACTGCTGCTTGTTTCCCATCGAAACAATTGTACATAGAAAACTAAAAATTAGACTTCAGATTTATTTCTGGTTAAACACAAAGCTATACGGTGAGTCATTTGTACTTTGACCACCGTGGGTATCGAAACCCGAACTGTAGCATTGTAAGCCAGAAAACGTACGTTTGAGCCACTGGGGTGGGAAGTTTCAGCTTGTATACTGAATAATTCAGAAGTGTAAATTAGTTGTATCGATGGCACATATTTTTTTTTAATACTATATAAATATAGGTTCAGTTTGGTGAGTAAAGGGCAATTCAAAATACGATACATATTGAACATAGAAACTGTCCAACGAAACTGCATGTAAAAATGTATAGCACAAAAGAAAAAAATGATTTAAGAAATATGTACTAACAACCTGAAATATATTTATGTGTTGTTCAGTATAACATCCAGCTATTCAGTTGTATTGGAATATTAACTTATGATGTATATTGGATAAACAAAAAGTATTTCGTCGATGCAAATTTCCAAAAGCTCAATCTTGTAATCTTGTCTTGATTTTCAGTCTAACAATGTTTTGGACCTCTGCGATGTTAAACTATAAAAAAACCAATGAGGCTTAGAAATAAACATGGTTCAGGGAAAAAATGCTAGGGATTATATAAATTAGAAATCCTCGCATATAATGAAACAAGATAAAAAACTAAGTTTAATGAATTGTAAGATCTAAAATTGAAAGGAAAAAATATTATAAATCAAGGAGTATTAAAGTACCACTTTTGCTAAAAAATATTTAGCTATATTGATTTATTTAAGCTTAACCTTCAGGTCAACTGGTTGAGCAGTAATGCCTGTAGTATTAGCTAATTAATAACACGGAATGTAATTGAAAGCATTATTATTATAAATAGATATTTCTCAAAATGTATATTTACATCATTGGGCGAATTATTAGTTTCCATCGCTATTTTAGCACTTTGTAGGTTTTCACCAAGAAATTCCAACAGGGTATAAAAAAAAACAATAACTAAATTTTTTTATCGTTGTACCTTCAAAGAGGCTGACGAAGTTCATAAAAATTGCACATGAAACTAAGATATCCTCCTGTTCTTACCCTAACTGTTTTCCCCTATACAACCGAGGAATGTTGGAAAAAAAAATTGCAATTCCTCAGATATGTATCTTTTTGAAAATATCACTTGTATGATTACTTTTTAAACATCTAAATAATGTTGGATATTTTATGTTTTTGTAATTATACTTTAAAGCTGTTTAAGGGATGCGTGTCTAGAGAAAACTAGATAAGCGCGCCATCTGTTAGTAGCTTTGGGAAAGTCTAATAAATACACTCTATGAAGTATTTAAAAATTATTGAAAACTGAAGTACTAAGTATATATATATATTTAAAGGTTTTAAAGAAGTACAACTTATTTTTTAACGTAGATAGCTTATAGTATGGAGAAGGCATCAGATCGAAAATGTCATAAAAAACAAAACAAAAACGAGTACACAAGTGAACCATAATTCGAAATAAGGAAGATACAGGTTTGTTTTCTTTAAAGTTTGTAGTGCATACTGGAGGGATTTACACATTGTGATAAAAGTTTAGATAAACGACCTTTACACTCCAGATGTAAATATTTTTTGTTTTTTTTGTTACTACCAACGTTTCGCTTTTACAGCTTCTTCAGTGTTAATACATACAAACTGTTTAATAATGTATTTTAATCAACGTATACTTCAATGTATAAGTGGATCATAAACACATGTGATTATATTATGTTGTGTTTGCTACAATAACAGTTAAAGAAAGAAGGATTTTCTAGTATATTTTGTCTATATACCCTGTGTTTAAGTGGATCATAAACATATGTGATTATATTAGGTTATGTTTGCTACAATAACAGTTAAAGAAAGAAGGATTTTCCAGTATATTTCGTCTATATACCCTGTGTTTAAGTGGATCGTAAACATATGTGATTATATTATGTTGTGTTTGCTACAATAACAGTTAAAGAAAGAAGGATTTTCTAGTATATTTTGTCTATATACCCTGTGTTTAAGTGGATCATAAACACCATGAGATTATATTAGGTTATGTTTGCTACAATAACAGTTAAAGAAAGAAAAAAATCATATATATATATATATATTCTGGTACAACAGTGTCGACAGTAGAGTTTGATAAACCCGAGTACAACGTAAGAGAAGAAGTTGGAGAAGTACTTATTCCAATCAAGAGAACAGGTGATCTCAGGAAAGAGATGATGGCTGTCTGCTCCACAGAATCAGGTAAGAAGAACTTCTAAAAATATCTTGTAAATGTGAATTAAAAAAGGGTGACTTACGATCTATCTACTGTTAAAAATACGTTGTCATATCATATTTTTATATAGATCAATATAATTTTCAAAGACAGATATTTTACACCGGTTTGATAAAAATCTGGATGCGATTTTGTGGGCAGAGCACAGATAGTCTATTGTTGTTGTTGTTTGAAGCTAATCACAAAGCTACACAATAGGCTATCTGTGCTCTGCCCACCACGGGTATCGAAACCCGGTTTCTGGAGTTGTAAGTCTGCAGACATACCGCTGTGCCACTGGGGGGGGGGAGTAGGCCATTGTGTATCTTTGCGCGAAATTCTGAAATAAACAAACAAACTTTCAACGTGTACTTCGAACAACCGTTGTTTATACTATAATTTAAAAAAGTCGTTAGGTTCTTATTTGCCATTACTTTCCTATGGGTCGTTATGCAGTTAAATTGCAGTGTAGTATAATATATTATACTAATTTTATCTAATCATCAAATAGGAAAATTATATATATTTGATTAAAATTGACAGAAAAGAATTATAAGAAATTCCTTGTATTTGTTTAAACGTTAATACACAGCCACAACCGTGTTATATATATATGATAGAGAGGTAAGTTTTAATTTTTGAATTTATACTTTGGAATGAAAGTTTTGTTCACTTTATATCGATACGAGTCTCGTTTTATAATATTTTTCTTATTTCTTTCTATTTGTAAATCGGATGGGCTTAGTGGTTAACGTATCGGACTTTGAATCATAGGGTTCGGAGCTCTAGACGCTTAACATACTCCGCATTTTCAGCAGTGACGCGTTATAAAAGTGACAATCAATCCCGTAATTCGGTTTGGACGAATGGGCAAAGCCTTTGAGGTAGCATGTTCCGCTGGTAGCCAGTAGTCCACAGAGATAGTAGTTTAAAAATTAGGGACGGTTATTCCTTAATCCTTGGTTTCTCTGATTTGATCTTTAACCTACGTGTGTGTAAAATGTCGTTTAGACTGAAAATTCCTGTTATTTTCTCTTCAGTTTAAATTGATATTATTCACAGATCCACTGTTTCTCCATTCATTGCGTTCTAAGCTAAATGATGTACAATCTTTTTGTAAATTCATGTTTTCGTTTTATTGAGTGGATTAGATAGTAAACAAATAATGTAAATTTTCCAGATACGGCTACAGGGACTATCCCGACTAATGTCCAGTCGTTCTCTGATTTCATCAGTCGACCAGAGAGTCACAAGAGTGTGATCAGGTTCAACGTGGGGCAGGATCTGAACTACTGCCGATTAGTGATCATAGACGATTCGCTCTTCGAGGAGGAGGAATCCTTTAATGTCCGACTTTCTCTGCCCATGGGAGGCCAAGTAGGAGAACAGAATGAAACAAAAATCATCATCGTTCCGGACAAGAATGACGGTATGGCAGCTATTTGAATTAAAAACTAAATACAAACAATAACGAGTCACGAAATGATATCAAATCTGAATCAACCTTGCTCAGGAATTTACGTATTCCATTCATCTAGGCGAGCTGTTAATGTACATAGACTTAACATGCTAGTATTAAATATGGGAGTTTATAGAACATAATGTTATCAGATTTTGTTTATGTTTTGTTTCTTTCTTAACAACAGCAAACATTCTCCTAGCATCTTAATTATTTAATCAAAGAAAAGGTTTCATGGCAGAATAATTTTTAACTATTTAATCAAAGAAAAGGTTTCATGACAGAATAATTTTTAACTATTTAATCAAAGAAAAGGTTTCATGACAGAATAATTTTTAACTATTTAATCAAAGAAAAGGTTTCATGACAGAATAATTTTTAACTATTTAATCAAAGAAAAGGTTTCATGACAGAATAATTTTTAACTATTTAATCAAAGAAAAGGTTTCATGACAGAATATTTTTTAATTATTTAATTAAACAAAAGGTTTCATGACAGAATAATTTTTAACTATTTAATTAAAAAAGGTTTCATGACAAAATATTTTTAGTTATTTAATCAAAGAAAAGGTTTCATGACAGAATATTTTTTAACTATTTAATTAAACAAAAGGTTTCATGACAGAATAATTTTTAATTATTTAATCAAAGAAAAGGTTTCAGCAGAATAATTTTTAACTATTTAATCAAAGACAAGGTTTCATGACAGAATAAT